ACTGATGGTACAGAGGTTAAGCTATCAGCTGCTAACTGAAAAATCAGTGGTTCAAATCCAGCAACTGCTCAATATATAACACATATATGTTTAAAATAATCTTTGAAAATTATGAATAAATCAGAGTTTCTTAAAATTATAAAGGCTATAAACCAGCTATTTACAACAAATGTCATACAAAATGGAGGTATTTTACATATGGTACCTTTAAAATGAGTAAGATGACAAGAATGTCAGCTATCATCACAGCCTTCAACAGAAATGGAAGGCACAGAACGAGATCCAGGCATAGATGGAAACTGATTGTTTGCTGGATGTGGCTCCACAAACCATTAGAGAAAGCGTAAACTTTTAAATAAATATGCTAGGGGGAAATTACTATAAATCACCATAAAGATAATGTTGGATCCCTGCCTCACACTGTATATGTAGAATTCATGGAGGCTAGAAGATATTAAGTGTGAATGTTAAGTTTGCAAATCTAGTAAAAGAAAATACCATGTCATGCATTTATAAACATAGGGCAGGGATACTTTTCTTTTAAAAAGATCCAAAACACATAAGCAAATTAAAAACATTGGTGGATTTGACTACATCAGAATTAAGGATTTTGTTAGTAGGAGCTCTGGTAGCGTAGTGGTTACGAATCGGGCCGCGAACCTTAAGGTCAGCGGTTCGAAACTACTAGCTGCTCCACAGGAGAAAGATGAGGCTTTCTACTCCCATAAAGATTTACACCCTCAGAAACCCTGTACAGGGTCGCTATGGGTCGAAACCGACTCGACAGCACTTAACAACAACAACAAAAGATTTCATAGTCAGAATTGACAGATGATAGACTGGGAGAAGGTATTTGTAATGTTGAAACAAATCAACAACAATAAACCACATGTAGAGTTATTTCAAAGTGCCTAGAAAAACACTGGCAATTCTGTTTTAAAAATGGACAACAATAAAAGAACACACTTCAGGGAAATGAAAGCCCCAAAGTTGTCACTTATATGAAGATGTGAATCTCTACACTAGTGAAAAAACACAGACTGGAACAATAACAATATGCTGATACCCTACACAAATACAACAGGCAAAACCAGAAAATAAGATAATGCCAATTTGGGGGGATGATAGGAGGAAATGAAAACTCTTGCACATTGTTGGTGTGTGAACTGAACAGCCCAGACAGTGTCAAATGTTTACCCTCTGACTTAGAAATCCATTCTTGGGCGTACATCCTAGAGTAGCTCAGTTATACTTAAATAAAATATCATAACTATATACTGGATATACATATAAATGATTTCAAATTATATCCACGTCAAAAGATCTGAATGGGAGAAAGATGAGGGTTTCTGGTCCTGCCAGGATATACAACATATAGAATCACTATGAGGAGGTCCCTAGGACCATGCCTGAAATGGAGCCAGAGATGATGACGTGGAGCGATGGAGCAGCTGGAGACTTTAGATCCAGAGAGGGAGAGTGACTGTGTGCTGAAGACCTGGGGGGTACAGGGGAAGAATTGCATGGAGGGGATTGTAACCATGGCTATGAGACGATATACGATAGAATGAATGTAAAACTAATGTTCTCCCATGTAAACTATTACATAATTCACAATAAAACATTCAAGAAAAAAAAAAAAAGAATCACTATGAGCTGCAACTGACTCAGTGGCACTTAACATCAACAGAAAGATTTGAGACTTTCAGAGTGGCAGGCTGTGTTTAAATACATCTCTTCCCTATCAGTTCCTCATCCACAAATTAGAAGTCAAAGTGTCCTTCCAGGGTTGTTCTGAATGTAGCAATAACATACATGGAGAAGACCTAAAAGAATAATTGGCAACTGCATGAATTGAATTATGTTCCCCCACAATGTGTCAACTTGGCTGGACCATGGTTCTCAGTGGTTTGGCATTTGTGTAATGACGTAATTTGGCAGTCATACAATGATGTAGTCACCCTGTGATATGATCTGATGTGATCAGTTAATCCATTGTAAGAGGATTAATGTGGGATATAACACCCTTGCTCATTAACTGATATAAGGGGAGTTACCTGGGGTGTGATCTGCATCACCCTTTATCTTACAAGACATAGACTGAGAAAGAAGCAGCAGAGAAGTAGGGGCCTACTACCACAAGGTAAAAAGAGGGAGTCGAGTGTGTTCTTTGGACCTAGGGTCCCTGTACTGAGAACCTTCTAAACCAAGGAGAAGACAAGACACATGGCAATCATTAAGGGATGTTACACCTACAGATGTTGAAAGAGACAAGGACCTTCCTCCGGAAAGGATAAAGAAAGCCGCCTCCTAGAGCTGGCATCCTAAACTGTGAGAGACTAAAATTTCTGTTTGTTAAATCCATATACTTGTGGCATTTCTGTTATAGCAGCACTAGATAACTAAGACAGTAGTGGTCATTACCTCTTTCTTTGTATTAAAAGACACTTTTTATCTTCATTTTTAGATTTCAACAGGATAAAAGGTTCAGGGGGCTGGGAAAGTTGGTGCCCACAATGTGTTTTGCCTGGGCCCCACAATCTACTGATTTTGCTTTTTCTTTTTTTAAGTTTTTATTGTGAATTGAGTGAAAGTTTACAAGGCAGGTCATCAGTTTTACATTCAATAAATCATATAATTTGTTTCATTATAATCCACTCCTTGTACTATCAGTTAACAGTATTTCTCTCTATTCATTTTAGTTCTTTTTAAAAAAAAAAACAACAACAAAAAAACCCCACTCAGGCATATATAATAATTTAAACCACCCAAAGGACACATTCTGCAAGCCTGCCTCCTGGACACCAGCTCTCAGTCCCTCTCTTTCCATGAATCTAGAGTCCTCACAGCTGCTCCCTCTTTCCATGTCCCCATTTCTGCCTCCATCTCTGATGTCACTGCTTCTCTGGATAGGGTCCAGCATTCTGCTTGTGCTCTTCTCCCTTGATGATCCTAGGGTCCTCTGTTTCTGGACTGTAAGATTAACTACTCCCCCGTTTTTGTTACAAAACTTCTACCTTTACAGTTGTGACAGTCGCAATTAGTCATGATAACAGTTATTGTCAAGTGCAGTCGAGTCGATTCCGACCCATAGCAACCCTGTATAGGGTCTCCAAGGAGCAGCTGGTGAGCTTGAACCGCCGACCTTGCAGTTTCAAACGGCTTTGCAGTCTGGTGCATTAACCCACAGTGCCACACCAGGACTCCTAGGGCTCTGATGACAGTTACTCACAATTAAATCATAAGAATATTATTCTTTTCATCAGAGTGGTCTAGACAAGAAAAAAACTATTCAGTGGGGACTCTGCCATGCCCCACACACTCTTAAACTAATTTCCCTCTTGAAACCTTGTAAGCCAGTCATTGTTTGCCTTTATTGCCCCCTCAGTTTTGGTCACCAATGTCTAAATTGTCCATCCCTAGAGCTCTGGTAGCGTAGTGGTTACGTATGCAGCTGCGAGTCGCAAGGTCAGCAGTTTGAAACTACCAGCGGTTCTGCGGGAGAAAGATGAGGCGTTCTGCTCCTGTAAAGATTTACAGCCTTGGAAATCCTGTACAGGGTTGCTATGAGTCGGAACAACAACATCTACTCTGGTAGCGTAGTGATTACGAATTGGCCTGCGAATCGCAAGGTCAGCAGTTAGAAACTACCAGCTGCTCTGCAGGAGAAAGATGAGGCTTTCTGCTCCTGTACAGATTTACAGCCTCGGAAATCCTGTTCAGGGTCGCTATAGGTCAGAACCGACTCTATAGTATTTGACAACAACAATAACATCTACCCTGACGCTAATGAGTCAGACTGCAAAGTCATTTGAACTTCAAGGTCAGTGGTTCAAGCTAACCAGCTCCTCCTTGGAAACCATATACAGGGTTGCTATAGGTCGGAACCAACTCGATGGCACTTAACAACAACATCTACCATGTGTACAGAGGGGATAGCATTTGATACTTGATGTGAAGACTCCTTCCTACTCTGTTGGTATTTAGGGCTACCACCTCCATTAGTATAGGTCAAGTTCATCAAATTGTAGCAATTTACCCACGTTTCCTTTATCAAAAAAAATTTTAAATTATTTTATCTTCCTCTAGTCCCCATAGAAGGAACTCTGGTAGCGTAGCGGTTATGATTCGGGCTGCGAACCTCAGGGGTAGCAGTTCGAAACTACCAGCTGCTCCACGGGAGAAAGATGAGGCTTTCTACTCCTGTAAAGACTTATAGTCTCGGAAACCCTGTACAGGGTCGCTATAAGTCGGAACTCACTCCATTGCACATAACAACAACAGTCCCCATCGAGGCTAGGCCAAATGGTTAATACCTGCAAGTTTGGGTGTTCTTGTGTGTCTCCCCACAATCTACTTTTGTCCTATGTGTGTGTCTGCTGATACCAAACATACTCTTTTTAAAATGAAGATACTGTTTGTGAAATTTAAGAACAAAACCCATGCCTTCCTCTCCACTTACTCAGAGTTGTTAATTACAACTTTCGAATTCTGACTTAAACTTTGAGACTCTGGATCTTTGCAGTCTACGAAGAGGTCGAGGTCAGATGAGAGCATCGGGAGCCTTAGTTAACCTTTATGATTCTGTCCCTGGACCAAGCTGGAGAGTTAGGGGGCCCCTCCCAATAGGCACCTGGAGAGCAGCAGTGCTCTCAGTCCAAAGTCAGCTGGTCTGAGGAGACCAGGCACACAAGGCAAAGGCAGCATTGCTGGGGATTGAGGGCCACCAAGGGGCATGGGAATTTATGGCGGTTGGCCAACGAAAGATGCAAGTAGTCCTGGTCTGCTTCCGAGGGCCAGCCACTGGCCTAGCAAGGAGGGATCGGCCCCAAGCCCTTGCCGTACTGGAGAACCCCGCCGGCTACTGCTGCCTCCACTGCCCACGCCCACACCCACGCCCACGCACCCTCCTATCTTCTCACAGCCGCCAGCAGGACGCCAAATTGCCACCCTGCATGAGAATTCAACACTCTTGAAGCTACTCTGGATTTCACGGGAACATGAGTGGACGGGCCCGCGTGAAAGCTAGAGGCATGGACCGTGGTCAAAGCGCCGGAGAAGTAGGGAGCACACAGGCCTCCCCATCAGTATGTATAAACGCTTAGTCGACTTTTTTCCGTTTTGTTTTCCCTGAAGACCAGGCCAGTGTCTTCATTTGCTTATATCTCTAATTTCTGCTAAGCAGTAGTGAGCTATCTTCTCTCTCAACTTTGAGCCTTTCCAAGGTTTCTCACATTCTTTTCTCCTAGGACTTTTAATTAACCAAGATATTAAGCTAGGGAGCCCTGGTGTGGCGCTGTGGGCTGATGTGTCAGGCTGCAAAGTCGTTTGAACTGCAAGATCAGTGGTTCAAGCTTATCAGCTGCTCTTTGGAAACCCTGTACAGGGTCGTTGGGTCAGAATTGACTGGAGGACACTTAACAACAACAACATATAGCTAGTGAGCTCTGATGGCACTGTAGGATAAGAACAAGATTGCTGTCAGGTAGGCAGTTCAAACCCGCCAGCCACTCCACGAGAGAAAAATAAGACTGACACATGGGATAAAGCAATGGACTGAAAGGTCGGTTTGAACACAAGGTTGGTGGTTCAAACTCACCAGCCACTCCTTGGAAACCCTATATAAGGTCTCTATGAGTTGGAAGACACTTAACAACAACACCTGAAAAAGATTTGCAGCCTTGGAACCCCTATACAGGACTACTATGAATAGGAATCGACTCTATGGCAATGAGTTTGGTTTGAGGTTTTTACTAGTTAATGATGAGGACAGAACGTTAAAGGCAAGTGTGTCATTATCTTCAGGAATTTTAGTTATTTGATTTGATTTTAAATTGCCTGGTAAAAGTTGATGTACCTTCCAAAGTAATGCTGTTGTTGTTAAATGCGGTCAAGTCAGTTCTGACTCGTAGTCACCCTGTATACTATTTCCAAAGCTGTAAAACTTTGTGGGGGTAGAAAGTCTCATCTTTCTCCTGAAGAATAAGTTGTGGGCTCCAACCTTGAACCTTGTGGTTCACAATCCAGTGTTTATCCTACAAAGTCATGTTGTTCCTTGTGTAACATTGTGTAGCATATAATCTAACGAATCTGTAAAAATTAATCATCTCAAACACAGATATGGTTTAGGTCCAACCAATGTTTTTGTAGCAGCCTCTGTGGGTTGGGTTTCTTGCTGGATTCAGGCAACTAGATGGAGTTGACCTGAACATAAGCAACTTTCTTTTTTTTTTAAAGGTTTTATTGTGAATTATGTGATAGTTTACATAGGAGAACGTTAGTTTTGCATTCATCCTATCGTATATTGTTTCATTGCCATGGTTACAATCCCCTCCATGCATCATCAACCAACCAAAGATTATACCCTATAAGCCTGCCCCCTCAGTGGTCAGCACAGTCTCTCTCCCTTTCTGTGTCTGAAGTCCCCAGCTACTCCATCTCTTCACGTCATCGTCTCTGCCTGCATCTCAGGTATCACTGAACATAAGCAACTTTTGAGTGATGCTACACATATACACTTTTGTCATTTACAGCACCCTCTTCAGCCAAAAAGGACTCACAGTGAATAGTCATTGTGTCTTCATGCTCCTAAAGCAGTCTTCTTCTGACTTCACTTGCATATATAACAGGTCAAGATATAATAGCATCTTGGACAAAGAGAAGTAGTTACTGTGAAAAGGGAAAATAATAATAATGCTTCTCTTATGAGAGCTAATTTTGACCCCTTTGGTTCAGGGAGAAGCTTGTCTGAATTGATGGCCCAGGTCCTCTGGGCTTCATTAATTTTCTTGCCACAAATAATGTCAGCTGTTCAGACAGGTAGCAAAAGGCCCATGTCATACACCTTGACACATGAAAGTCCATGCTCATTGTTACCATACATCTGGCTCAGATTCGTACTATAATCAAAGTTTGATAAAATGGGAAAAATAGCAGTGTGTTCTAACCTTTTTTTCTTCTTTTTGGAATTCATCATCCCATGTCCTCTCCTAACTCATGGTAATCTAATGATTCATGATACGATTTTGTTCTTATGTTGTGATAGTCTTTGGTTTATGACAACATCATAAATCTGAACAAAACTCTTTTTGTACTCATTTTAGTCTGCATCTGTTGATCTGAAAGACAATGACACACCTACTAGCAGTGGACGCATGGAAACAAGCGAGATTTTACCGAAAAGTAAGAGCAACTGTCTGTTCCCTTCAGCCCTGCGCAATCTGTGGTTGAGATGAAGCCTCACAACAGCAGGGTCATTTCTTGAGCTTCGCATTTTCCTCTTCTTGTGGGATCCTCCTTTGTCATGTTTCTTTTGGGACTCTTAACATGTGATCTGCTGCTCACATTCCTGACAGTGCTTGGCAGATGGGAATCTGCAGACATTGGAAGTCAGTTTTCAAGTTCATTTTGATCATTGAAGGATTTTTTTTAAAAATTGAAAATGTTGTGTGATATATAATTGCAGGAGTGGTAGGAACTTGGCTGCAAGCTGTTGCTCTTCCCTTCCTCACCAATTATTGAGTTGGTCTGACGCATGGTGACGCTGTGTGTGTGGTTTTAATGATTGATTTACAGATATCCATCACCAGGGCTTTCTTTTGAGGCTCTTCTAGGTGGACTCAAATGTCCAACCTTTCTGTGAACAGCCCAAGGACATTAGCTGGTTGTACCACCCGTGGACTCTAGCCATGGTTGTTGTTGTTAACTTGTGGTGGAGTCAGTTCCAACTCACAGAAATCCTGTATAGGGTTTCTTAGGAGCGACTGGTGGTTCTAAACTGTCAACCTTGTGGTTAGCAGTCTAGGGTTTATCTTACAGTGCCATATCAGCACTCCAGCCATGGTACACATCACCATTTAATGATCTCTCTCTTCCCTGCAAAGCCAGGTTTGGCCTCAGGATACTTGTCAACATGCTACTCCAAGTAGACACTATCACTCATTGCAGGTTGGCATGTCTAATGAATCCTGTTGCCCATTTCTTTTGCTCTGATCATGAAGTTGTGTGATTGATTTCTAACAAGTATCTGAGCTCTAAGCGCTTAGGTCTTCCCAGACTGATGACCAGAGCTGGCACTCATCTTGTGCCTGGTGGTTTTCCAGCCATACTAAAGTACCTTGTGAGATCCGAAATCACATAAGTTAATGTGACTTCTCAGATCTACTCTGAGGCAGTGCTTTCAATCCAGGGCTGCTGCCATAGTAAAACAGGATTCCAATTTCACTTTGGAAATTTCTTGCCATACCTGTCTTATGTTTTGAATACCAACTGGTGGAAACTCTTCATTCTTTGAGGGTAGATATAATATTTAGAAACCGCTCAACATCATTTGAAACCAAGAGCAATGAATAATAGGGGTAATCAAGTGAGGCTAATAAATTTTTAAAAATTAAATAAGGTATGTGTTTTTTCTGGGAGATTAAGACACTACTGACAGCAGTTTTGGGCAAATGGCAGTGACATTTGGGCTAATTGCATACAAAGATCAGTTCAGAGTCCCAGAGTTAGTCCTGTTAATTCTTGTATTCTTTATATTTTTAAGTTATCTTCAAGATACCAAAAGATGTCTTTAAAATAGCGCCTCTTTGTACTCAGTTTAAACAAAATATTCATTTGGAAACAGATTTTAACTTTGGATGGTCTAGAAGCTAACACTAGGTTAAACATTGGCTTTCATTCTCAAGGGAAATAGTCAGGCATAAAGAGAGATGGCAATGTTCTGGGAAATTTCTCTTCGTTTTGTGGGAAGAGGGAAAAATGCAGTCCCTCTCTGTGCAAAAGCAGGTGTGGGCAGGCATACACTATAACTCTTCAAGGTGTTATGCGGGGAGCTAGGGAAGGGAGAGCTGCCCTCCATAAACGGGCATGGCACAGTGCCTAGAGAGACAGAGCTGTCTCCTTAGCCACGCCATAAATCACACAAGTACTTTCTACAACAGCCTAATTCAGAGGCTGCGATTTCTAACAGAGCATCTCATGCTTCCTTCACAGTTTTTAAGTTTTAGGCTGAAGGCATCTGTGTGGTCGGCTTCTGCTTTCAGCAATGTGATGTTTTATAAGACCCCCAAACTCTTAGCTTTGTTTGTAGATGCATTTTTGATATAGTAGTTGAAAATAGTATCAGTAGATTGAAATATAAGATATTATTATGTTATCTTTCTATATTAGATAGAGACAGTATATCATCTGGGGATATTGGGTGTGCCCTCATGAGAAGAGATGGGAGAATCCAACCGGGATTCATGGATTTGGGTGTCTGTACCCGAGACAAACTGGCACATGTGAGAGATTGCAAAACAGGTATTCAGTTTTATGGTATTTATTTTTTTAATGTTACCAAATCTTGCTTATGAAATTTTAATTTCTAGGTCTAAAATCAACAAGTTCACACATTCACTTAACATTTATTGAATATCCACTATGATTAAGGCATTGTCTAAACACTTCTGGTTTTCTTTGGCCTTAAATTTCTCTTTTATTAATACAAATGATAACATTTCCCCCCAAATCACACATCAGTTGCTGAAAGGATTTTCTGTTTACATGTGGGATTGAGATTAAAAAGATGCATCATGTCTTTTTCTACACTTTTCTTATGTGGAATAAGATCCTTGCTGGACTCCAGCTGTAAAAAGAAAAATGTGGCCTATTTCAGAGATTTTATACCAGGAATTCAGACCCACCCCTGAAATTACCCCCAGAATTGCAGATGGATGCATTCTCTGGGAAGTGGGTCTATTGTTTTATTTGCTTCTCAATGGAAAGTTTTGTGACTCCTAAAAGTTAAGATTCACTAATGAACATCAGTGGTTTTCAATTAAAAACAAAACAACAGCAACAAAAAACAATAGTAACAATGCAGCACAATAAGAACTTGATATATGTGGGGGCTTTAAAAAAAATAATGCAAAAATGGAATGCAAAAATCATGGAATTTTTCCATGAACTTTTTGAAGCCCCCTCTAATTATCCAGCACACACCCACACACTTGAAACAAAAGTACTTACCCTTACTAAATGCAAGACATTCTGGTCCATTCTATTGCATTCTAGTCTTTCATTAAAAATATTGGTTCAACTCATAACTCCCGCACTAATGGTCACAGCTGTAGTTTGAAAACACTCATGTAGATGATCTCTAAGGGTCTTGTCACCGCTTACGCTGACGTTCAACATTGGTTTCTCTTTGTTCACTAATATGACCACCTGAAACATGTTTCCTCAGGATCTGGGCGCATAAAGGAAAGCTTCTTTAATTAGAATACCACAGTGGTTCCTTGTACCTGCCATATGTATGCCAGAGATCAAGTCTGGCAGAATGCTAAGGCACACATGGTCCATTTTCGTTCACCACCTTAGGGACGCATGTCTTCACTTCCTCCATGAGAAAAGCAAAATGTAGCCTAGTTGAGATAAATGCTTTCCTGTAAGACAAAAACTTTGTTTATGGGCTCCTCCATTTTGTCCTCTGTAGAGTGTACACCATCCATCCCGAGCACTGAGCACATATATTGTGACCGACTTTGATTTTCATCCTGGAGGCTTTAAGATGTGAATAAAATATTCTGTAGAGGGATGGAATGCCTCCAGGTGCCTGCAGAAAATAGAAGCCTGGAGTATTTCTGTGTTCATAGGGAAAGATCTCCCTTCCCCTCTCCCCTTAAAACTCACGGAGCTGATTCAGACTCACAGCAACCATACCAGACAGAGGAGAACCACTCATAGGGTTTACAAGGTTGTAGATATTTACGGAAGTGGACTGCTGTATCTTTCTCCCATGGAGTGGCTAGTGGGGTTGAACCACTGACCTTCTGGATAGCAGTGGAATTGCTTAAACAATTGCACCACTAGGGCATCTCCATATATACTGTTGTTGTTAAGTGTTGTTGGGTCAGGTCTATATAGGGTTTCTGAGAAGCAGGTGGTGAGTTTGAACTGCCGACCTTGAAGTTCATACTCCAATGCTTATCCTACAGCACCATAGCAGGACACCCCAAATTTCCTGTTAGCAATGTACAATCATTAATAATAGTGGTATTACTATTGTTATTGATATTCTATAAAGCATATCTGCATCTGGGTAGGCCCATATCAGGACTTGCTGTTATATATTTTTCTAACTCAATGTAAATCCAGCTTTACTCTCTGTTGTTGTTATGTGCTGTGAAGTCGGTTCTGACTCATAGCGATCCTGTACAGTGTTTCCGAGGCTGTAAATCTTTATGGTAGCAGAAAGCCTCATCTTTCTCCTATGGAACAGCTGGTAGTTTTGAACTGTTGACCTTGCGGTTCGCAGCCCGATTCATAACCACTACGCTACCGAGCTCCTTTCCTAACTGGATGTAAATCCATCTTTACTCTCTAGTATTCACAAAAACAAAACAAAATCCACTGCCATTGAGTCAATTGTGAGTCACAGTAATGCTGTAGGACAGAGTAGAACTACTCTCTCGGATTTCCAAGGCTAGAACTCTTTATGGAAACAGACTACTTCATCTTGCTTCCACGGAACAGCTGGTGAGTTGGAAATGCTGGTTAGCAGCCCAATGCTTAATCCACGGCACTGCAAGAGTTCCATATCTATTTGTTGTTGTTGCTGTTAAGTGCCATCGAGTTGATTCCATCTCATAACAACCTTGTATAGAGTTTCTGAGAATCAACTGGTGAGTTTGAACTGCTGACCTTGCTGTTCAAACGACCTTGTAGTCCAGTGCTTACCCTACCACAAGGTCTCTATGAGTCAGAGTCAACATGATGGCACTTAACAACTATTCTCTGGTAGCGTAGTGGTTATGAATCGGGCTGCGAACTGCAAGGTCAGCAGTTCGAAACTACCAGCTGCTCCGCGGGAGAAAGATGAG